GCCCGGCATGGCGCGAGACCAGCGCTGTCCTGCGCTGAGCAGCTCCCTCCCGCTTTAGAGGGCCTGTTCCCGTGCTGTGCTCATTCTTCCTTTTATTTGTTTAGAAAAAGTTCTTTTTTTTTTTTTTTCCATTTCTCAGTGGAACTCAGCAGGGATGGGACGTGGGTCTTACAGCCCTGCAGGCAGCAGCTATGTGGCTGTAGTGCCAGAATGAGTAATGACATTGAATGCTGCCTTTTTCTGCCCCTTCCCTGTTCCCAGTCCTTAGTGTCCTGTTCCCTCCTGACCTCAGAGTGGGAAGCATCCCTCCAGGAAAGCCTGGAGCTGGGAGCTGAGCTGGCCTCTCGGCTGCCTCCCGCCAGCTCCCCAAGGCTACGGTGCGGCTCCTGTGGCTCGTGCTTCTCTTCCACGTCACTTGTGGGGGCTCCACTGGTCTCGCCTAGCGCGGTGCTGCCTGGCGGCTGCGCTGGAGACGACGCCACTTGTGGCGCTGGAGACTGTGGAGCTGCGTTGGCGTCGCGCGCCTCTGTGAACATCCTGTCGGTTGCTGCTCGCTGCTGCTCCAGCTCCTGGGGCCACGCTGTGTTTCCTCACCTCTCAGGTGTTGCTTGCAACATAGGGAGACGAGCATTTCTTATGTTGAAAGCCCTGGAAAAAAACATCCTACAGATGAGCGGATCGCGACCGACTGCTTTCCCTTGCCAGGAAAAGGGCCATTTGTTCCCAGTTAGGCTCTGCCAGCTGGGAAAGGGCCCCGGGGCTGCGTGCACGGGGGCTGCGGAGCCACTGCTGCCATGGGAAAGGCGCTGCGACGCCGAGGGCGCTGGCCTTCCCCTTTGTTCCCCATGGCACTGCGGACAGGGTGTCTCCACAGGGAGATGGCGCTCCCTGTGGCGCCCGCGCCGTCACGCTGAGCATTTTGTGTTTGCTCTTAAATGAACCCCGTGGAAGAGCCCCGCTGGGCTGCTCCCCGCTGACAAGGGAGGCTTGTTTGCGCCTCCCGGCGGAGCTGGCTCTGCTCCCGGAAGCCTTCCCGGCTTTCCCC